TGAAGCTTTGCGCGAAATTCAAAAACAAACAAACAAACAGTTCGCTAAAAACAAGGCAATCTCTCATTTTCCTGACTTGGATAACACAGGCCTGCGAATTTAAACTTCATAAAAGTTGTTTTGGTCTTAATAACTGATTTTCTATAATTCAGCTACGCAGATTTCGAAAATAATATTAATTTTTTTTATATCACGTAAGGATTTTTTTTACAAATCGGGAAGAAAATCAAACCTCTTACTTAGATCAAATTATTATTGCGTTTACCGCAATGAACATTTTTTTATTATCATGTTTGTTTACAAAAATACAAACAAACTGAAGAAAAGGGAAGAACATTGATATCAAAAGAATATGCATCCTTATTCATCCTGACTTTTTTGGGGAAGTCTACGTGTTTTAGTCTCAAAACTACGTGTTGTGGTCTTTCATTTATGTATCGCGTTGTGACGTTTTCTGAAAATTTTGTACGTGTTGGAGAAAAATGGATATCATTTTCGGATTCAGCGTACAGGAATTAGTGTAGAACATGTAAAGATTTCAAGACAATAAAACCATCGCAGGCCTGTGTAATTATAACCAATCTTTATTTAACACATAGTTGTGTTCCTCACGTATTGTTAGTCTCTTATTTTATTAAGAGTCCATCTTAACTTTGACACATAATTGTGTTTCTCACGTATTTATAAAGTTCAGCAAAGAGTTTGTTTGTTTGAAGTTAAGCACAAAGCAACACAATGGGCCATCTGTGCTCTGCCCACCCCGGTATCAAAACCCGGATTCTAGCGTTGTAAGTCCGCAGACATACCGCTGTGCCACTGGGGGGGCTCAGCAAAGAGTAAAAGCCTAACACAAGTCACACACCATATAAGAGACAAACAGAATATTAAGAACATTTATAAGGCTCAGCGAAGGGAAAAAACGAACAAAAACAGCACTCACTGGGACAGCATTACCTAAAGCAGAACTTCTACTGCATAAAACGAATGGCTGAGCAATGCTGAAAAACTCATTATTGGTAATAAAATTAAGATATACAAACATTACTCATACTCTTATTTGTCAGGTGGTTAGGGCGCTCGACTCGCAATGTGAGGGTCGCGGGTTCCCCGTCCCATCAAACATGCTCGCCCTTTCAGCCGTGAGGGCGTTATAATGTGACGGTCAATCCCACTATTCGTTGGTAAAAGAGTAGCCAAAGAGTTGGCGGTGGGTGGTAATGATTAGCTGCCTTCTCTCTAGTCTTATGCTGCTAAATTAGGGACGGCTAGCGTAGATAGTCCTCGTGTAGCTTTGAGCGAAATTCAAAACAAACAAACATACTATATTTTAAAAATAGGCACGACGTTTCGATCAACACGAAACTATTAGTGTTTAAATCTGTTGTAGTAACAGAGCCCTCTCTTGGCTAGTAATGGTACTCGATTTTGTATTTAATGTATATATATAAAATATTTGTTTCCTTAACGGGTACCCTTGGCTAATTTACAAAAGCACAATGTTAATAAGTTATACGTTCTTTCTCTAACCGTATACAACGTTATGTTATCACTTCAATTACAGTATACAGTGTTTACACGAACAGTGTTTTATGTTCAAATGTTTTTATCTTAACTTCAATACATAATGATTATATGACATTTTTTTCGACAGTATATAATGCTTTCGTACCATTATTTCAACACTAGTGTTCACATAATTAATTTAACAGTTTACAACTGAAGTTAAACATCATTATTACTACAACACTGTATTAATTTAGCAGTTTACAACTGAAGTTAAACATCATTATTACTACAACACTGTATTAATTTAGCAGTTTACAACTGAAGTTAAGCCTCATTATTACTACAACAATGTTTCCATTTCTTTTATCAATAATATAATGCCAACATTATAAATAATGCTTAATTATCAATTTTGAATAAAAGTCTTATGCTGAAACATTTCTGATGTTCTAAAAAATGATTGGCGTCCATGTTTGTGTGTGTGTGTGTGTAAAGTGTTGCGTTTAAAATAAAACAACGAAAACGATTTAAAGTTGTAACAAAAAATTTATTAAAATCACAATTGTCAAGATAATAAATTTATGAAACAAACACCGATTACGAAAATGGCGTGTTTTTCTCTTCATTTCTTATTTCTTGGTAGATATTTACGATTAATAAAAGGTGGAATAGAAGAAAAGGAAAAATAATTTTGTCACTGGTGGTATTATCATACGCATGCGTTACATGCAACCACCAGTTAAAAGTGTTTTAACATTCAAGGTAGGGAAAATGGATTGGACGGGAATACGAATACACAAATATTTATATACAAAGACATCTTTATTCCTGGTATTTTAGTATCATTTTTAATTTAGGGACAGAATTATTAACTATTATAATATATCTATTTCCAAAACTACTTATATATATCACATAATCTCCATCATTTGATTTCTTGTAACAAAACCAAAACCTTTCTATAGCAAATATTTTAAGATGTAGGCCTACACGACAGTGAAAAGTCTCTTGAAATCATAACAGCCTCCCTACATTCTTTATTTGTGGCGCCATCTGTTGCCGGATCCACGCTGTACAGACCTTCACATTTTAGATATTTTGTGGCCTCTGAACATTTCCTTTCATATGTCAGTAACTTTGCTGGAAAAAACAAAAAAGTAGTAAGAAAACAATCATTCATATTTCGAACAACTAAAATACCAAATATACATATACGTGCTAAAGTTAAATTAATAACATCGCTTTAACATGTAACCAACGATATACTTTTATAAACTCTTTAACATGGTTATTCAAGCACAAAAATAAAACACATCTTTTGTTCCAAAAGCCATGAATGACAGACATTACTTGGTAAATTTTACATAAAAACTATATTTAGATTTTTTAAAATCAGTATTCTGTTTCATATTGTTGAATGCAGAGTAAGGGTTAGCAACATTAGCATCTAAGACATATTTATACTTTTTAGAATAAACAAACAACAGCAAAAAACGAATACTTATGGTATTTTTGAAATATCTAAGTCGTATAGATTTTAGCTTATTTTGAATTATTTCCCATATTATATATTATCGTCTGTAGATGGCGCTTGAAACTATGACTTCTATAATGTTATATTTTGACTTACTTGCTTTCAAATACAGAAATAATTGTTTGAACTCTTAAATAAGATGTAGATAATGGACCTAAGGAGTAAATTAAATTGCATAAGTTGTCAGAATTATAGTTATCATTTCTCAGCGACTTACCAGGTGTTTGTTGTAGGTCTACAACAAGTCCTTCCCACACCTCGGCGGTTGCCCTAAAAGGCATAACTTGTCTTAGTACACAAAATTTTCCTATACTAAAATTACAGGATGAAATAAAAATAGAAGCAGTACTAATGACTTCTTATGACATTTTGTAAACATTACAATTATGAGCAAACAATCAATGACTGTTTTTTTATTAAGGGCCACTTATTAATATTGTTGAATAAATATTGTTTACGTACACATTGAAAACTTTGAATAACACAGTTTGATTTTAAAACGTTTATTCGTCAATAGAGGGCGCGGGTTTGAAGAATATTTGACGGCTTTCTGTGTTGAAAAAGTAACTTCCAACAAATATGTTTATTTGAATATGTTTGTTACTACATACATACATACTGAAAACTTGGAAATTCAATAATCTTGTATCATTGTGAGATATGTTGCCAGGACTATTTTTTTTTTTCAAATGATAAGAAATATATAAAATAAATAAATTAAAATATAACCATTTTTTTCGGGTAAACATTAAATATAATGTAAAAACCATCTAATTTTTTTGATTGGATTTAAATTTGCTTATCTATATACGATACAGATTATTTAGAAACAGAGTAATGAAGTGGCCAAGAACTATATTTAAACTTTAAATATAATAGATACAAAAAAATCACACGATGAATAAATAAATAAAGATTATCAATTCTAAAAGAAAGAAAAAAGATTAAAACCTAGGACATAGTCAACAAAAAACCCTTTTTTTCTCAAATGGAACATGCTTTTACTTGCATTCATATGTATATTTTGTTATGAAATTAAAAATAAATTACTTATACAATTTTAGAATATCACAGAAAATAAAAATAGAATAATTTAACAGATTGGTTTTCAAACCAACGTGAAATAGAACGTCGTACTGAGCCGCGGGATCAGGAAAAGATCTGTGGTATTGGTTGCCGAATGTCTGAAGCTCACGAACTGTACCCTGGGAACTCTCAGTGTCAGACTCACATCCGGGTAGCCGGAAGGTGGCGTAAGGTGCTAGATCGTATCCGTAACATAAGCAGAAGAAAAAAAATTCAGGTGTTAGTCTAGCTTTTCTTAGTTTTTCCTGTAATAAAATTCCTTAAAGCGCTAAGTTTATTCAGGTTTACGGCAGGTAGAAAATAAAGCTGAATTCAGGTAATTTCGCATATAACTTTACTTTTCTTTGTTTTTAGATGCACTGAATGGTAGGTAGTAAATTATCGTTTTTAAATGAAATGTTTATTGTTATTAACAATATTGTTACGTCTCTGGTCGTTGGTTAATTTTCCGTAGAAATTCTTTCCGAAAAACTTCAGCGATACAAATCCTTTCTTAAATAAAACTAGTTTATTCTTTCTCAATACAACTTTGCAATACACTTAATTTCCACAGTCACTTTAACTTGAACACACGCTATAATTCACAACGATTCATGCACTTTACTTACGGTCACTACCGCGCTTGACTCAATTGTCCGTCTCTGTCTGTCTGCAATTCTATTCCGATTAATTAATTTCGCTTTATCTGGCGCACTTATATACAAGAATAGAGGGCGCGTAGAAAAGACCAAAGTTGTCACGAACAGACATGATCCTTCTAAAATATCATAACGTGTTACTCGCGTCACGTGACTTCCGCTGTCGTAACAATATGATATTTTTTGCATTTAGTATTCTACAAATTGTCTGATAATAAACAAATATATATACAATAATTGAAACAATACTTATAAAGAGTTTATCAATCAACTTTGTTTATTTCAGAGCAAAGCCACATTAGGCTTTATACTGTGTACACCGCTGGGAATCGGACCCCCAGATTTTAGCATTGTAAGTACACGCTATCATTCAGCAGACGAAGACTGGGTGTAGCTTGTCGGAACAAAATAGTGCTTAAAACATAACATTAAGCAACTTACATATCTATTCACTCATTTCTAAGTTCATCTAATAACTATTTGTGTAAACAATCTCAATTCGTTAACATTTTTTTCCGTATAAATCACTGACAAAAATAACAGGATAATCGGGTGAGCACATCACGAGGCCCACAGCATGCTCTGCAAAGAAACCTAATGACTCTAAACAGATGGACCCTAAAGTCATATAGACTGTTGATGTCGAAGTTTACGTGATGATGATGATGCCAACACATCACGAATTGTATCAATTTGAGGCATAGGTTGATAAAAATCTTGGAAAGCGATAAAAATCTGCTTTTGGAATAAGAGTGTTTCAATGACAATACACAGTATATTTCAAAGTATTTAGAAATACTAATGCGTCTATTATTTGGTCCCTCGATGGGACAGCGATAAGTCCACGGACTTACAACGCTGAAATCCGGGGTTAGACTTCCCATGGCTAACTAAAAAAACAATCATGTGTGGTGAAGGGGAATCGAACCCCCGACTCACAGATTGGGAGTCGAGGGCCCTAACCCCCCAAGACATTCCGCACCACTTATATATATTTACCTTCATATTTATATCTATGTACTGCAGTCACGATTATGGGAGAAAAAACGTTATAAAAATCCCACAAGTGGGATATAACACATTTGATATAACAATGTTGAGTTATATTTACTGGATCGGACGTAACGAATCTATATTTGTAATGAGCCATACGAACAGAGCTAGAGAAATGTTTTTGCTCATTAGAAACCTATTTTAGAAGCGTTACCCCTATATAGTTCATCATCACAGTAACTTGGCAACAGTTTTCATTAAATATTAACTATCTTCTTCTTCTTCTTCTTCATTCGATCTGAGTGCCATCTAGTTTTGGAGTCGGCCGCTCGAGTATTTTGTATCAGCCACAAAATTTTACATTCGGGTGGCTGAACCTGACAGCAACCCTAAAGTACGATGTTCGGTGACGAGAATTCGAGCCCACAATTCCAAGTTTGCGAGACGAGCGCCCTAACCACCAGGCCATGCCAAGCCAGGCTCCCCTTAAATATTAACTATTAAATATTAAATATTTCAATGGCACATTCATTCTGAAACGATTGTTATATCTAATCAGATATACCTACATACCTACAGAAGATATATCTAATCAGTTGTACCTACATACCCACATAAGACATATCTAATCAGATATACCTACATACCTACAGAAAACATATCTAATCAGTTGTACCTACATACCTACAGAAGACATATATAATCAGTTGTACCTACATACCTACAGAAGACATATATAATCAGTTGTACCTACATACCCACAGAAGACATATATAATCAGTTGTACCTACATACCCACAGAAGACATATATAATCAGTTATACCTACATACCTACAAAAGACAT